GTAGCCGGTAAAATTCAACAGGTAGAGCTCTTCCAACATGGAGTTATAGTGAGAAGGCCAGGTTCAGCTACTCACACCTGCTTTTTATGAAACCAGTAAAGTGGGGGGAGATCATGGCTGCCCCAAGATATTCTGCTGCCTGAAACAGGACAGGAAGTGGTGCTACTTAGCCACCCAAGTTCAGGTGCATAAATATCCAAGGTCAGACAAATTTATTTTGGCACTTGGGGTAGAAAAATCTTAGGAGCATCTTTCCTACTTCCTGGTGTGCAAAATGTCATCATAACAAATGAAAAAAGTTAGCAAAGTGCTGCAGCTTCATGAGACTCCAAATCTGCCACCTTAAGCACCTGTCACATTCTGCCTAATGGCAAGCCTGGCCCTAGTACAAGCTTTCTGGCCATAAAAAGGTGCCATGCAAACATCTCCAGTTCCACCCTATCTCCAATCCCACCAGTAAGCACTTCCCTGGCCTCTGTGCTTCAAATACAGATCATTCTCCTGGATCTGTACCATGAGAAAAAAGGACAAGAGACTACATACAAAGCTTTTTAAAAAGTACCGTGCAGCATTACATCCATCCCAGTCAGTTCCTGAAAGTCTGATGGCATAAAAATATTTTAACTTACTAGCAGGAGGACAGCAACAAAAGGGTCATCCTTGTCTCCATAGAGAGCGAGTTTCAAAGTCCAGGAGCAGCCACCAAGAAGGCCCTCTTCCTTGTTCCCACCAAATAAGCTTGAGGTTGTGGTGGGACACAGAGAAGGATTTTAGCACTCTAAAGCAGTGATTCTTTTATTCCAGCCTCCCAGGTGTTTTGGACTTCTGCTCCCACAATCCCAGACTATTGGCCAAAATGGTTAAGGCTCCTGGGAGGACCACAGTTTGGGGATCACTGCTCTAAAGGGTCATAAAGGAAGATAAAGCTCTTCAAAGAGCCCGTACCCAAGTCATATAGGACTTTATAGGTCATCACCAGCACTCTGAACTATTCCTGCAAACTGGCCAGCAGTCAGTGAAGCTGCTGCAACATGGTATTTGTGTGCTCCTGTAACTTTAGCACTGGGACCACACCATCCACATGCAAAGACCGCCTGTGCTATTTCCTCCATGTTATTAAGAAAGAAAGGACCAGTGGTGTAATGCAACCTGGGCTTACAGGACTGAAGTCCCAGGATTATTTTCTTTAATGTTTTATTTGATGGACAAGGACTACGACGCCATCTGCCAACCCTTCTAGACTCCCCTGTTCCTAAGGTTAGCCACAATTCCCACAGCAGCTGAAAGGGAAATGGATTTTGTCAACAACAGTGTGGCATTATGTGCCATCCCTCTTGTAATCCAAAGTATTTCAGGGTAGTTTGGTCTTGAGGTTATGATCCATTAGTTTTACAAAAGATCTGCTCTTGGTAGATATGAAAATAGATAGATGGATGGATGGATGGATAGATAAATAGATAGATAGATAGACAGACAGACAGACAGACAGACAGATTTCAAACCAGCTGCCTTCCTTTGGATTCCCCTTAAAGGTGTTGCTAGGGGGATTGTCATAGATTTACCATGATATTATTGTTGGAAACATAATAGACATACATTGAAAACACACAGAGAATACTATTCTCCAACCATCCCAAGTGTGAAAGAAATAGCTATATTTATCACTCCACCATCTGCCGGCAACATACCTTTAACAAATCAAAAAAGACAAAAGGCAAGCCAGCTCCATTTTAGGTGGCAGTGTTAAGACACATATACCGATTCTTAATTTGGACTCTGGAGTTTGGAGCCTACTTTTGCATTCCAGTTTGTTCACTGAATTACAGCATGGGCTTCTCTTCCTGTCCTGGGCATACAAGCCAGAACAAACCAACCTGAGACCAAAGCAGCACCTGACATGAGGGCCTGTAGGTTTTTGCAATTCTTCCCAAAGCAAGCTTTGCTTTGGCCGTCTTGCCAATCAAATTCTCAGCTCCAAAAGGAGCAGCTCACAGATATCCCAAGTTCAAAAAATAAATAAATACATTTAAAAAAAATCAAACCACTGCATGGAACTAAAGACATGGAATAATGGAACAGAAAAGCTTTGAAATGCCCGAGCTGCCTGTTTGGAGCAAGCTGCAAGCAGGTGGAAGGGAGCATGCTTTCAATGTGAGCCCCAGCTCTGATCCACAGCATCACAGACTGAAAGGATCTGAAGGATAGGAAAGATTTCTGAACAAAAACCCTTTCAGAACTAGTGCCAGTCCAAAGGGTCAGGAATGGGCTAGTTGGAACTGGTATTTCGGTGTTAGACACCTCTGTATGGATACCCTCCAACATATCACAAATAAAAAGCAGTCCCTGCAGACAATGTCACGGCTCTGTATCCCGCTACACACAGTAGTTCCCAAACTTTGGTCCACCAGATATTTGGGGCTTCAGATCCCAGAATTCCTGACTCTTGGCAAAGCTGACCAGTGCTTCTGAGAGTTGAAGTCCAAAACATCTGGAGGGCCAAAATGTGTGAACTACCAAGCAACAAAAGCATAGATGGATGCTTCTCTGCTGCCTCCACTGTTCTCCATCAACCATGAAATGGCTTAGTTGGAGGAGCAGATGGACACGAGAAAAGGTGTTTTGGTGGTAGCAGGGGGTATTTGGGGAATTGTGCAGGTAGTAGAGAATGCCAGCCTATGCAATGGCAAAAAAGATGGGTTGTGATGGCATAAGTCTGACTTCCTATAGAAAAGAAGGGAGAAGTGGAGGTGGAAGTGGAAGTGGAGGGCCTTGCTCTTGGTCCCTGAGAAGTCATGACGGATGGTAAAGGTGAGGGGTTCCACCAGCTATTGTAGAACAACATTGAAATAAAATGAAACATATGGTAATATTGATTGTCGTCATAATGCAGAATTAAAGCAGTTCGATACCACTTTAATTGTCATGACTGTATCCTACACAATCCTACTAGTTTGGTAAGACATTCAGCCTAGTCAGTCAGAGAGCTCTGGTGCCTCATCAAACTACAAATCCTAGGATTCTGTAAGATAGAGTCATGGTAGTTACAGTGGCATCAAACTGGTTTAATTCTGCTATGTGGACACACCCATTATCTCACCTTACAATGTGCAGCACTGAAGATACTGTTATCCCTCCGCATTTTTATTCCAAACAAGGCCATTTTGTTTACTTTCATCTGGGAGAGAAACTAGATAAAGCTGACAAGGAAGGTTTTGGAACTCACCTGAAGCTCACCTTGAGCTGAGCACCTTTGCAGTGTGTTGATCTAACTAAAGGGCTGTACAGACCAGCCAAAAAGGTTGGCATCAGGGTAGAGTGGGGTGTAGCGGCTGCACACCGCACGCCCCGACTCCAGCCCTAAGTCACCTTCATGTCGCACACCCAACCAGATGGCAGGCAGTGTTGCAGTGCTCCGGTGGTGTGGCAACTACACACTGCACGCCATAAGAAGCACTGAAAAGTGGCATTTTGCCAGCTCTTTTTAGAGTGGCAAAGCACAGGATCGGGGCTGTGGCGCGCGGTTGCTGCGGCCCCGATCCAGTGAGCAAACGGGCAGCTTGCCACCTCCCCTTTTGGGCAGTCTGCACAGCCCCTAAATCACTGACTTCACAAGCTCCCATGTTGTGTCTTATGTACAACTTTGCACAGCATGAGACCCACAATGTATTCCTGCCATCCTTAAGTGCTTCCCTTCCATTTCCTTTCTCTCTCTTTCTCACTTCACTCTTTTTTTCCTCTCTTTTAAAAACCATCTTAATAAAAGCAGATACGCATATTCATCTATATATGGATTTCTAACACTCTAGTCTCCATGGTTTCTAGACTTTGCGTACATCACTGCCAACAAATGGATAGAAAGATTTCTCTTCCCCCTCCTCCTCTCCTCCCTTAAAGCGGCGCTTCTTTTTTATTATAAAACTTTAATTGGCTTTAAAGACTGACTGTCACACCGGCTGACACTTTAAAGTGTTCAGTACAGTAGGAGACACAAAACATGAATCACAGCGCTTGTTTTTCATCTTGCCTCTTGCCACGTTTGCTAATTATTTAATCTCCCTGCGCTCCTTCGCCTGCTCGTCTTTTCCTTCTCAATCCTTTCTACAATAGTCTTTGTCACAATTACTACTGTCTGGTTAAAAAATAGGGAACTGGGCACAATTCAAACCAAGGGATGCAAGATGTAGCAGATGTAGTTTGGAAGTACCATCTTGATAAGAGAGACTTGTTAAGCTGGACTTTCAAGCACGCATTGACCTTGTTGATAATGCCCAAACCATGGTTCAAAATTGGCTGAGAATGATATGGCCTGGTGGCTACATGCACCTATTTGGGAATCCTTGAAACTCGCACTGAACCCCCAAACCTCCATTTTTTAAAGCTTAGCCCTCATCCCACATGATTTGAAAGTGCCCCATTGTCCACTGTCATGGAATAGTAGCAAGATTGGGAGGCTATTGACAGGTTTTCCCCATCAATGAAAAGGTCCACTACAATAAAAAATGGAATGCAAGGCAAGGCAGCAGCAGGACGGACATGACACCATATGATAAGTACTGGTCAGCCATGTTTTTATCTCAATTAAAGTCCACTTTTATACCCTATGTGATAAAGTTCATAGGTAAATCCAGTTGATTCAATGGCTCTGTTTTGGCCAGCACAAATAACAGAACTGGGCCAGTGGATTTTACCTACATAGCAACTCACCTTCAACAATTCATCCAGTGGGTCTACTCTGGCTGGGACTAACCAATAGGAATTAGATTATGACCCAAAAAGGGAATATTTCCAGGCCCTGACCCATTGTTGTGTTTCCCAGCTCTGTAATTTGACCCCTCAGCATTCCTTCACCATGACTGTGGTTGTTGTCACTTCCAATATACGTCAACCCTAAGGTGAACCTATCATGGGGTTTTCTTGGCAAGATTTGTTGCGAAGGGGTTTGACAGTGCTTTCCTCTGAGGCTGAGTGTGACTTACCCAAGGTTACCCAGTGGTTTTCCATGGCTGAGCAGGGATTCAAACCATGGTCTCCAGTGTAGTAGTCCAATGCTCAAACCACTACACCACACTGGCTCCATTTACAATGATCCCTGGATGGAGTTTCTTTGGGAACTGAAAGAAGTAGAAGGAAGCATTCATGCACTACAACTACATGTTGAAAGCCAGCAGCAATCAAAAGGGACATTTTGGGCAACTGGAAATCACTCCCATTGACTTTTCAGCATGATCTCTTGCTGTTCTGGAGTAGGCTAAACACTCTTTTTGGCCCTAAAAGGCTATCTTGGATTGAATGTTGAGGGTTTCAAGGGGATGGCTACATGGGACTCCTCCCAAAAGCTACATGCAGCCCATGACATACATAATTCACACTCCTGATGTAGAATAGTTCCACAGTCTGTGAAGGACATTAGAGGACTTGCTTCCTGAATTTTTTCAAGTTACTTTGGAACATCCAAGGCCTGAACAAATTACGATTTGCAAAGCTAGACTTTCTGCCATCTACTCATGGCCTAGGAGAGACTAACAGTTACACATGTGAAACACTGCTTATGCAACCACAAACCAAATATGTTCATCTGTCGTGTGTGTGTGTGTGTGTCACCCATCAACTTATGTCAACTCCATAATTTTCACAGGGTTTTCTTATGCAAGGAATACT